CCATTCCAGGTTTGAAGAGGCTGTTCCTGGGGCTGGGCTGTTTCTGGCCACTCTCTCTCCAGCCCATGCTGCTGTCCCCTGGGCGGGTGGCAGAGCTGCCCTGCCTGTCTGCTGGGCACCACACCGGCTCCGTCCCTGCCTGTGTGATGGAGCTGTAGCTGCCAGCATGGTGTCAGTGCAGTGTCACAGGTGGACTCACCTGGACCCTCCATCATCTCCCCCCTGAGCCCTGCCTGGCACCTTGGTGTCACAACCGAGCTTGCGGTTACAACTGAGCACAGGTGTCGGATCCCACGCCAGGTCCTGCAGCATCCTTCCCGTGGAGGATGTGGGGAGTTCACCCCATTGCCCTGAGAAAGCAGATGGGTTTCGGGGTGCCAGTCTTGGTCTGTGGTCCACGAGCCACCTGTGAGCGTGGGGGGGGTTTGGGACCTGTCAGCTCCTGCACTGGGTTTCCCCTGTGGCTAAATCATGGTTGTCCTTGGTGGCTGGCAGGAGCAAAGTCTCCCGGGGAGAAGTCTCGTTATGAAACCTCGCTGAACCTCACCACCAAGCGCTTCCTGGAGCTGCTGAGCCAGTCGCCCGATGGCGTGGTGGACCTCAACTGGGCGGCTGAGGTGCTGAAGGTGCAGAAGAGGCGTATCTATGACATCACCAATGTCCTGGAGGGCATCCAGCTCATCACCAAGAAGTCCAAGAACAACATCCAGTGGCTGTACGTCCCTGGGCTGGGCTTGTGGGGCTGTGGCTGGCTGTCCCCTGGGATGGGAGAGCCACCTGGGTTCACCTGGGTTCAGGGTGGAGCAGCGTCTTGCTGGGATGGAGAAGCTCAGAGCGGTGTCACCAGAGCATCTGCTCGGGGGTCGCGTGGTGGCTCCCCCTTCACATGGGCCATGGCCTCGGGCAAGGTCTGTGCTTGAGCACGGGTGGCTCCCAAGCATCGGTATCCCTGTGTTGGCTGCAAGTCCCCCTTGGGCTCCCCGAGCCAGCTGGGGGAGCGGGGGGGCTGCATCCAGGCTCCAGGAGAGGACCCCAGGGCTGTGCCCGACTGGGAAATCCCCGTAAGGCTGATTCCCTGGGTATGGGGTGGGATTTAGCCTGGCCCAGGTGGGGACAATGCATGGGGACAGTTATGGTGTGGGGCAGAGGGAGCCGTGGGGTTTGGCTCCTGACGGCTGCGGTGCTCCCCAGGGGCAGCCAGGCTACCGTGGGGGCCCCCGGCCGGCCCGGCTGCTGGCGAAGGAGCTGCGGGAGCTGCAGGCAGCTGAGCGGCAGCTGGACGACCTCATCCAGACGTGCACAGTGCAGCTGCGCCTGCTCACCGAGGACCCCGCCAACCAGCAATATCCTTCGGTGCGGGGCAGGGAGGGGGCTGGCTGGGG